TAAGGCTGTAACGTAACAAAATGTGGAAAAAGTCAAGGAGTCTGAATACTTTCTGAATGCACTGTATATGGGAAAATACATGTTTGAAATTTTTGACCAATCGATTGGTCGAATGAACAAGATTATTTTTGGTCGGGGACAGCCCTAGTTGACTCCAATGCTTCCCACAGTTGTGTGAAGTTGGCTGGATGTCCTTTGGGTGGTGGACCTTTCTTGATAGACACAGGAAACTGTTGAGCGTGAAAATCCCAGAAGTATTGCAGTTCTTGACACAAACCGGTGCGCCTGGCACCTACTACCATACTCCGTTCAAAGGCACTTCAATCTTTTGTCTTACCCATTCACCCTCTGAATGGCACACATACACAATCCATGTCTCAAGGCTTCTCTGAATGGCACACATACACAATTCTTCTTTACCCTGTCTCCTCCCCTTCATATACACTGATTGAAGTGGATTTAACAAGTGACATCAATAAGGGTTCCTAGCTTTCACCTGGTCAGTCTATGTAATGTTTTGTGTACTCAGTGTATGTTTTAATGTCTGGTGTTTCTTTCTTTGTGAAACAGTCAGAGGCTCACTGGAGACAGGTTGTCTGCCACATGTCTGACACATCGCCCAGTGCAGTGATCTGAAGATTCCAGAACCATATGACCGCACTGCTGCTTTCTGAATCACTCACACACACACACACACACACTGCTGCTTTCCGAATCACCTAGCCCGTGATTCATTCGTTAGGAGATATGGGGATTGATGCCATGTGAGTGTGTTTGGGCTAGGCAGACGTCTGTGTACTCTGCAGGAGGGGGTATGAGTCAGAGATGACAGAGTGCCCCTCTCTCTCTCTCTCTCTCTCTCTCTCTCTCTCTCTCTCTCTCTCTCTCTCTCTCTTTCTGTTTCACGGTCAGTGTCTGGCTGTGTGTTTGTTTAGGATTGCTTGTGTGAAGAGCACTTGAACGGTACATGTAGCTATTGTCCAATTCACAGCCCATCTAGGTGGAGAGAACAAGGCTTCGATAGAAGGACAGAAAGTTTACAGAGGCACTCCAGTATTAGCCCTTGGGTTCTGCCTATTAAGAGAGGCTATATCAGTATACCTTACTCTGTCTGGCTCTGGGGTTGATCTCATCACCTTCACCCTAAGGTGGTTGGCTCTTTGGCTGGAAAGGGAAGTACTCCACCTAGTTGCACAACATGGTATCCAGTGACATGATAAATGCTTCTCTCTCTCCTCGCATCCCCCCCCCCCCCCCCCCCCCCCCCCCCCCCCTTCTCTCAGGATGGGAGTCTGTGGTCCTCAGATGGCCCAGGGTCCTCCAGTGGAATGAGCGAGGTAAGGGGGTTTATGGGTAATCTTGTTTAGCCATTAACCCCTTAAGAGTTTAGGTCTATAGGGGTCATCCCTAAACCCAGGGTCCTAAAATTCATCCCAAATGCCCGGAAATGAATGATGGATTTGTCCTCTGATATAAGAGCAGAGGGGCTATGAGTGTTTATTGATGTTCATAGCAAAGAGATGACAACGATGGTGCTGTATTGCTTGTATGGTTGCTCGGCCCCCTGTCAATATACCCTCACTCAATATACCTTCAAACTCTCTTTTTGTCACTGTGGATAAATTAGTGTTCTGAACAAGAGGATCACAATGGAAATAAGTTGTTCAACTTTTTTTTTGTGTTATCCTCAATGATTTTAAATGCATTGCATCCAAATATACAAATTGTCAATTTCATAAAATCAAATCACAAAAATGAATGACCAAATATGTGTGTTTGTGCTAACTTTACCTCTCCTCCTCCCTTACAGCAGCAGGTGTACACCCCACGGCCCCCGGACCGCGGCCCCTCCTACCTGCAGAGGGAGCGTCTGGCCCGCTTCCAGCCCACCTACCCCTACCTGCCCCACGCCATCATTGACCTGCCGCCCACCATATCGCTGTCGGACGGCGAGGAGCCCCCGCCCTACCAGGGCACCTGCACCCTGCAGCTTCGCGACCCCGAGCAGCAGCTGGAGCTTAACAGGGAGTCGGTGCGCGCGCCCCCCAACCGCACCGTCTACGACAGCCACCTCCTCGATACCTCCCTGTGCCCGCCGCCCAGCCTCAACGCGGGAGTCAGTGCTACCACGGTAGCCACGGCCGCACAGGCCTACTCCAGCCGAGTGGAAGGGGCGCCGCCGACTTATAGCGAGGTGATTGGGCACTACTACCACCCCTCTTCCCTGCCCAGGCACCACCACCAGACTTCCAGTGGCGGTGGGGGCACGGGGGGCGGAGGCGGGTTAGGAGGCCCGGGTCCCTCGCTGCTCCACGGGATACTCCAGCAGGCCCACCTGGGCAGCCTGGAGAGCAGGAACGCACGCAACAAAAAGGAGAAGCAGAAGCCTCGGCAGGTGTGACGACAGTGTTGGTGTCGGCCGTTATTTCTTTCTCTGCGCACTTCAGCTGAACTGTTGGTGTCAGGCAGGGTTGGGGAGGGGAGGGTGACATGGGGTGGCAGGGGGAGGCAGACGCAAAAAAAAAAGGACTGCCTCCCCTCTGAACTTTACCCCCCTCCCCCAGTCACCGTCTTACTGACAACCGTCGCCCTTGACTTACTTTGTATAAATATTTACTTGTTCTTTGTTGTCTCCGTGCTTACAGCTTTTTTTCTAGACTGACAAATGCGAAAACAAAAAAAGAGTTGCATTTTTATTTTCATTTTGTATTTAGGTTTATTTTGTTTTTGTATCCCTTTTGCATCATTTCTAGTCACTTATCTCCTTGTAGTTTATCCTTAGTTGCTCCGAGAGTCTTTTAGAATGACCAGGTCTTCCTTTTTTTTAGATGCAGATGGTTCTTTTAGTGAGCTGCCCCGTAACCCCGTCTGGCTTTGTGTACTGTCCGTGTACAGGCTTGTACAGTGCATTGATAGCAATCTTGTAACAGGTTGCCAGACTCAGGCTCTCACGGGTTGCCAGATTGAAGCTCATATGTTAGCCCTTGTTAGCCTCTCAGCTCATGACCCAGTTAGCCACAGTGCCGACATACCCCCGTTGCTCCTCATCAATCCGCATCAGAGGGTGAGTAAGCTTAGCGATGTGGTGGTCAGCGTTGGCATCCATGGAAACGCATGATTGGCAGCTGACTGGGTCTGTGTGTATCAACATGAGCACTGGAATAGAGAGTCCTGAGTCGAGGTCAATTGAGTTCAGTACTTTGCCCACTATAGTGCTATATGGCCATCTTGCTGTACTATCTGGACCCATCTGAGTTTAGTACTGTACTTTGGGTCTTGTCGAGTTTAGTACTGTCTTTGGGTCTTTGGCCAGACAAGTTCAGGAGTTCCTGTGTGCAAATGCTCTTAATTTCTTTCCGGATCTTTTTTAAAGAGATGTTTGCACAAGATTCAAGACTGTTTATCTGGAGAAAAAGAAAAGAAGTCTGCAATATGTATCATAAGAGAGGAGAGTGTGAGCAGGGGTATTTTTGTAAACATGGATACTAAAGAGAAAAATAAAAGTGAAAACGGTCATCTGTTGGGCTGCCAACTCAAATGTGTTTAACCATGTGCCATCTATACATATACATCCATATGTAGATGTATCACTGTATGTGTGTAAATGGCATATAAACACACATATGGAAATGGTCAAACAAACTTAAAAAGCACGATTTTAGAGTTATTTATATAATTGTTGAAAATAATTGCACTATTTTTTTATATAACGAAATGGAACGAGAGAAAAAAAGAGACCTGGAGTTTTGCGTGCATGTGTGATCTTGAGTGACAGAGCCCTTAACCTTTCAACCCCCAACTTTGAACTCTAGTTCAGGTTTATTATCTGCAGATACCCAAGATGTCTGACCAGAAGTAGGGTGAAGTTGCTCCTAGACGCTGATCTTGGGTCAGTTTAGCATTTCCCCCACTAATGGTTAAGGTTAGCTTTGGGGAAGGAGAAGCTGATCCTAGATCTGTACCTAGGGGAAACTTCACCCATTCCAGAGCATCTGACCACTATTTCATAGGACTGCAGCGTACAGTAGCCTACTACACAGAACTGCAGTACTGTAGGGCCAAAATCTGACTTAAAACATTTTGTGCGTGACTTTCAAATTGATCTGCTATTGATTTTAGGCAAACGTTAGAGTTAAAGTCGCAGATTTTAATTCAGATTCCGCTCGTAGGCCCTATTCCATAGGCTTAACTCTCTTTCACCTTTCTAGGCCTTTAGAAAGTCAAAAACTCCATTGACCTCAATTACCTATTATCTCTCAAGATGTATTTGTCAAATCGTTGATTTTGACAAACTACCTCAACAAGCAACACGTCAAGCACATAGTGTCGCCTACCCTTCAGATATTTTCATGTTTAGTGCCCATATTGAATTTCAACTCATGGATATTTTGTTTTTAATGCAAGCCTCCATCATGTGTAGGTTTGGAACAGAAAGAGATTAATCATGAAACTGAAGTTGGAGTGGTGACCTTCACCACTTCCCGCTAAGCCTTGTATCTGATTGTCAGGCCTTTGAAGCGGCCAGGTGTGAGAGAGAGAGAGAGAGAGAGAGAGAGTGCTCTGTCTATAGAGAGCATGACTGAGCGTTTAGCAGGCAACTGTACGCTGCACACATCCTCCTACCGTCTGGGCTTTTCTCCAGCAGGCATCTCTTAGCACTTTAATGAAGAAGGAGAGAGATGCAATCTCCTTCAGTCAGCATTGGTCTCACTTCTATATTGATATTATGCAACTGCTCCCTCTGAGGTGAGACTCAAACTGCAAGGGGGCCCAACTTAAGATGGTATCACAGCAAAGAAGGGAGAGGTGTATGTGACAATAATAAAATAGAAATTGCCAGTCAAAAGTTTGGACACACCTACGCATTCAAGGGTTTTTCTTTATTTTCTTTTACTATTTTCTACATTGTAGAATAATAGTGAAGACATCAAAACTATGAAATAACACATATGGAATCATGTAGTAACCAAAAAAGTGTTAAACAAATCAAAATATATTTTATATTTGAGATTCTTCAAATAGCCTCCCTTTGCCTTGATGACAGCTTTGCACACTCTTGGCGTTCTCTCAACCAGCTTCACCTGGAATGCATTTCCAACAGTTTTGAAGGTGAGCACTTTTTGGCTGCTTTTCCTTCACTCTGCCGTCCGACTCATCCCAAACCTTCTCAATTGGGTTGAGGTCGGGGGATTGTGGAGGCCAGGTCATCTGATGCAGCATTCCATCATTCTTCTTCTTGGTAAAATAGCCCTTACACAGCCTGGAGGTGTGTTGGGTCATTGTCCTGTTGAAAAACAAATGATAGTCCCACTAAGCCCAAACCAGATGGGATGGCGTATTGCTGCAGAATGCTGTGGTAGCCATGCTGGTTAAGTGTGCCTTGAATTCTAAATCAATCACAGACAGTGTCACCAGCAAAGCACCCCCACACCATAACACCATCTCCTCCATGCTTTATGGTGGGAACTACACATGCAGAGATCATCCGTTCACCCACACCGCATCTCACAAAGACACGGCGGTTGGAACCAAAAATCTCCAATTTGGACTCCAGACCAAAGGACACATTTCCACCGGTCTAATGTCCATTGCTCATGTTTCTTGGCTCAAGCAGGTCTCTTCTTCTTATTGGTGTCCTTTTAGTAGTGGTTTCTTTGCAGCAATTCGACCATGAAGGCCTGATTCACACAGTCCCCTCTGAACAGTTGATGTTGAGATGTGTCTGTTACTTGAACTCTGTGAAGCATTTATTTGGGCTGCAATTTCTGAGGCTGGAAATTCTAATAAACTTATCCTCTGCAGCAGAGGTAACTCTGGGTCTTCCATTCCTGTAGCGGTCCTCATGAGAGCCAGTTTCATCATAGCGCTTGATGGTTTTTGCGACTGCACTTGAAGAAACGTTCAAAGTTGAAATGTTCGGTATTGACTGACCTTCATGTCTTAAAGTAATGATGGACTGTTGTTTCTCTTAGCTTATTTGAGCTGTTCTTGCCATGATATGGACTTGGTCTTCCGTATACCACCCCTACCTTGTCACAACACAAATGATTGGCTCAAATGCAATAAGAAGGAAAGAAAACCACAAATGAACTTTTAAGAAGGCACACCTGTTAATTGAAATGCATCCCAGGTGACTACCTCATAAAGCTGGTTGAGAGAATGCCAAGCGTGTGCAAAGATGTCATCAAGGCAAAGGGTGGCTATTTGAAGAATCTCAAATATAAAATATATTTTGATTTGTTTAACACTTTTTTGGTTACTACATGATTCCCATATGTGTTATTTCATAGTTTTGATGTCTTCACTATTATTCTACTACGTAATAAATTGTAAAAAATAAAGAAAAACCCTTGAATGAGTAGGTGTGTCCAATCTTTTGACTGGTAGTGTGTGTGTGTGTGTGTGTGTGTGTGTGTGTGTGTATATATATATATACACACGCTTCCGAAAGTATTCACACCACTTGACTTATTGCACATTTTGTTGTGTTACAGCCAGAATTCTAAATGGATTAAATACATTTTATTTCTCACCCATCTACATACAATACCCCATAATGACAGTGAAAACTTGTTTTTAGAAATGTTTGCAAATTTATAGAAAAATTAAATACATAAATATCTAATTTATATAAGTATTCACACCCCTGAGTCCATACTTTCTAGAAGCACCTTTGGCATCGATTACAGCTTCGTGTCTTTCAGGGTAAGTCTCTAAGAGCTTACCACACCTGGATTGTGCAACATTTGCCCATTATTGTTTTTAAAATTCTTCAGGTCTTGCCATAGATTTTCAGGCCTATTTATGTCAAAACTGTAACTCGGCCACTCAGGAACATTCACTGTCTTCTTGGTAAGCAACTCCAGTGTAGATTTGGCCTTGTGTTTTAGGTTATTGTCCTGCTGAAAGGTGAATTCATCTCCTAGTGTCTGGTGGAAAACAGACTGAACCAGGTTTTCCTCTAGGATTTAGCCTGTGCTTAGCTCCATTCCATTTTATTTTTATTTATTTTTTACTCCCAAGTCCTTAACAATGACAAGCATACCCATAACATGATACAGCCTCCACTATGCTTGAGAATATGGAGAGTGGTATTCAGTAATGTGTTGTATTGGATTTGCCCCAAACAGAACACTTTGTGTTCTGGACAAAAAGTTAATTACTTTACCACATTTGTTGCAGTATTACTTTATTGCCTTGTTACAAACATGATGCATGTTTTGGAATATTTTTTTCCTGTACAGGCTTCTTAATAGTTTTACTCTGTCAATAAGGTTAATATATTGGAGTAACTACAATGTTGTTGATCCAGCCTCAGTTTTCTCTTATAACAACCATTAAAGTAACTGTTTTAATGTCACCATTGGCCTCTTGGTGAAATCCATGAGCGGTCTCCTTCCTCTTCGGCAACTGAGTTAGGAAGGACGCCTGTATCTTCATAGTGACTGGGTGTATTGATACACCATCTAAAGTGTAATTAATAACTTCACCATGCTCAAA